TTGAACTGTTCGACCCAAAAACTAGAATCCAAAACAGTTCTATGTTCGGTCCGGTTTTAAAAACCTTGGATGGTACCAATATACTTCACTTCACATCTCCATGGGAGGGCGGAGGGCCAGCCAATCAAGGCTGGGCATATGTCGTCTGACGTCTCTCCTTGCTTCATCAAGTCACTACTAACTAACAATGCACCAGCCATACCCCATACGTGGACAGGCGCTCTTTGTTTCTTTGTAGAGGGTGCCGGGTCTAATCGGGTTGAGGTCAAACCCTAACCCAATATCCTTAGTTATATCCTCCTTAATCTGCGCCATAATTATCTAGTCTTTGTATAAAACTGGCATCCATCCTGCTCTTGGTTTCCTTGAGTCTGCTTTGCTTTTATTTTACTCTTTATCTTTGTCTGATTCTTATCCACATCCCGTGGTTGTCATTTGTCAATAGGGATGTTAAATTGTTAGTCGGTTAGTTGGACTCGAACCGATCCCTAACTGTGTTTGATTGCAGTGTAAATTTATTTGCACTAATACAAATTTGTAAAAGTGTATAGGTAAAAAAATGCAAATTTTTATTTAATTTTATATTGAATTATAGTTTATTCTACTTTATATTTTAATTTATTTCATATATATTACAATCAAACAAAATAAACTAAAATTTGAAACAAAAATAAGTCAAAATGTACACTCAAATAATCTGCACAGCCACATTTTGCTTCAATACAAATTTATTTGTATTGCAAGTTTGCAACCAAACACAGCCTGAAGTGGATTTGGCGGGTCGTCGGACAGTAACCAAGGCACGAAATATGAAAGAAATAAATAAAAGTTTGGAAGGAAAAAACAATTGAATTGAAATATTCATGGCATACCACGTACCATAACCTGAACTCGTCACGGGCGGACAATTCAGAAATCACAGCCCAATCCCTTGATGTCCCTATAGGGGTGGGAGAGGGAGCCGCACAACTTGTTATACGGGATCCACTGGGACATCGAGTTGATGGGTCCTACTCCTACAGCCCTACCAGCTTTATTGGCATTCGTAAAGAATATACACATATATAGGAAAAAGGTATGAACAGAAAACAAAAATCAGATGATTATGATAGCATCATCACAACATTTATGATTGCCTGACGTGGGCGTGCCCCGGGCCGGGATTATAGAAGACGGATGGATTCAGCTGAGTTGGGTTGGGCTTCCTCAATCCAAATCTAAGCCTGAACCATTTTGAACCCAATGGATCGATTCGTATTCGGGTTGTCGAATTCAAAATGCACCCCAAACGAAATTTTCATGATGTACTCAAATAAAGAACAAGAAAGACGATGTATTAGAAATAACCTATAACCATGATGAGACCCAACGCTTATCCATGTGAATGTGAGTGCAAATGTGGTCCGGAATCGGATGGATGCAGGGAGTCTGGGAGCTGAGACTGAGATAATGGTATGTTGATGGAAAAATTCTACGGTCCAAAGTCCTAGGAGGAGCCGGGCTGGCATTACTCTGTTCCGTCCGTCGTTTGCTTGCTTAGGCGTGAAAGAAGCAGGCAGCTGGTGGTCACATGAGCTCGTACTGCAAGAAGCTTTGACGTCCTATGCTGTCTTTGGATTTGCGAGTGACGCATGAGAAAGAGGACTAGAGGAGGAGGGGTCATTGCAGTGAGTTGCAGATATGGCCACAACTCCCAACTCCCAACTCCCGGTGCACTAGCTAGCTACACTACAAATCTACAATAATGTTGGAGGGAACGATCGTATATCATTTGGGTCGGGTTTCGAGATAGATAGATAGAGACTGTTTTCCAAGAAAGAAAGAAAATATATAGAGAGAGAGAGAGAGGGATAGAGACTGACGACTGAGATAGAAGGATGGACGGCGTACTTGGTTGGAAGATTAGGTTAAGTCACAAGTCCCACAGCCACACAAGTCCACTGGTCCATGTGTGCGTGCGTGCGGGTGAGGGTGAGAGTGAAACGCATAACCCGGAATCATCGGCTTGTGTTGGGCCTTGGGCGGGCCAGGTCGGGCCCTCTGTAATTTTGTATTCATTCCTTGTTGTTTGTTTGTTAGCTAATACTGATAGATAGATATATCTTCACTCGATCTCGGTACTCAGAATCCCTCTCTTGCTGTCTTTGTTCCCAGTTCACACTCTTCTCAATAGTCTGCCACTGGTAGTCTTGGAAATTCATAAACACGACCACGCCATCAACCAAAAATAACAACGGAGAAGGGCTACCTCATTCCTGCTGCTGTCCTCTCACTCTCAAGTCTCAACTGCAGCATTCTTACACAATCTTTCTTTTCGGCAGCAAAAAAACACGATATTTATATTGGTATTCTTTTTCTTTTTAGATATGGGCCGATATTTCCAACGCAATAAATCCATTTATCCACAATGACAACTTTCCGTTAGATTTAGATGCATGCGGTTAAACTAGCTTTGTTTTAACTTTCTTTGTCAATGCCAATGAGATACACGACATCATACATACTGACTCCATCCAATTCCAAAGCCGTGAGACTGCAATTGCAGCAGAATTATGACTTCCCTCGATCAATTAATATCCGAACTTTTGATTGGATTGTGATGAGATGTGACACAGAAAGAGAAGAGGATCTCATAAAGATTTGAGGGGACCCATTCGAAGGGAACCCCATTCTAAACATTGATTAGATCGGAGAATGATGCATTTCTAGATCAGTCCCATCCGAAATGGAAGTGACTAGACCAGTCTGATACAACTTGACATTTACATTACCCTCCTTGGACTCTGATTCTGAGGTAGATCAGACCGCTGCCACCGGCCTTCTTCTTCTCCATGCATGTGGGTTGAGTGATAGCTAGGCATCCCAGAACTCATCATCGTAAATCTATCATCTTGCATGGCCTCATGGGATCCCAACTGTTTTTTATTGAGTAAACAATAACTTTTAACGTTCATCAAAGGCTTTTATTCCCTATTTTAATTGCATCCCGTACATGGTAGACAAACCGCGCTTCCTCAGTATATAATAAAAGTTCAACGCTTTCACTGTACTGAGATTTTAATAAGTGTTTTTAAATATTTAGTCTATTTTGAAACTACGCACACCTTTTTTACTGTTTTTCAACTTTAATTCTTGTCTAGATTAATGCATACTACATTTTTCCAACTATTTTGTTCAGTTTCTTCAGGTGGCCAAGAATGGTTAGAGCTCACTTCACTGTTCACAGACAGGTAAACCTGTGAAAGATTGGTTAAGAATCAAAAAAGGGTCTATTGGTATGTACCTTAAAAGGGCATCTTCTTTTGCAGAACTGAAGTTTCGAGGAACAAACTGTCAGTTAATTGTACTCTTTATATATCCATTAATTTGAAATGAATTTACAGATTCCCCATTTTTGGTCAGAGACTGACCAGTTGCATTTCAGAATGAGTTTGTCCTTTTCGAATATTTAGAAGAAAGAAATAGAAACCGGAAGCGGAACCGCATCAAACACAAGTCTTCTACTGAACAGTGAACACTTGAACAAAATATAACCCGGTTCTCCTGTAACTAGAAAGAAAAGAAAAGGGGAGCAGTTTTCTTTCGTTGTGTGTGATTGGGACCAAATTGCCTGAACTAAACCCATTTCAGGGATGATTTATTGTATTGTATCTAAAGGCATCGGATCGGATAGTTTCATAAGAGAATAAGGCCCTGTTTGGCATCAATTCTCAGAATCCTTTCATCGTGAAAGTCACCGGTTCTGTTTGGCACAGTCATCCGGTTCCCGTTTCTCAGAAATAGAATCGTGTTTGGCAGCAACCAATTTCTTTGAATCAATTCTTTAATCGTTTGATCAGACCGTCTATAGGAGAAAAAAGCAAGTTTGAGAAAGGAAGAACACGGTCTGATCAAGATCAAGTTGTGAACAACTTTGATCTAATCGGTCTGTACATGAGAGAAAAACATCAAGCCACTGGAAACATCCACCGCCATCCGAACAAAATAAAAGGTGAAGAAGGACAGGAGTTATCACCTGAAACATGACCGGCGCCGAAGAACGGGAATTTGACGTAGAACACTGGATCTATAAGGAAGGAGAAGAAGAAGATCGAGCATTTCACGGTAGGGAGAAGAAGGGATGCAAGAAACACAGACAATAGAAGCTATAGATTTATTCGGTTACGTAGAACTGGTGAAGCGACCGGTGCCAGAACCCTTCTGGAATAGAGTCGAACCGATACTAAGGAGAAGAACTGAAGAAGGGAGAAGAGAAAAGAGCTTGGTAGGGTTTTCCCGATCGGTTGAGGATAATGTTAAGAAAATTACACTTACACCCCTTCTTTCACGTGTGAGACCCGCACACGTGTTCGTAAATCTTAAAGCTCCGTGGCGAGAATTGGAGGCTTGCTAGAATTGTGATTCCGTGGAGTGAGATTTTTTCACTCCGCGGAATCACGTGCCGGGATGAGTTTTCTCATCCTGATTGGAATGAGAATCCGGCAACCGGTTCGCACCAAACGCGATTCTCATCTCGAGAATCACAAGAAACGCCACAACCACTCCGGGGTTGTGATGCCAAACGGGGCCTAAGTTTAAAGCTGATCAACCGCCTGCAGTTTTACTTGGGATTTTCTCCTTCCTTGTTTCTTTATGTTCAGCAAGGATACAAATCAGTCCAAACCTGAGGCATTAACGGTGTTTGATGTACTGGACTCATTTCTGTTTTTGGGGTAATTGAAGCACAGAAAATGAAGCTTACTCTTAATGCAGGGGCCGCTAGAAAAAACTTGCCTTGGAAGTCTCATGTAATACGAGCACATTGAAGAAATCAAATCTGCAACTTTTATCTTTATTTTAATTTAATTTCGAGACGTCAATGGAGAAAACTTGATTATGAGCCCCAAAATTGAACCAGTAAAGAACTACGATTATATGTTAACATCCATCAAAGGTTGAAATTTATTACTTCAATGACGAACGAAGAGAACGACGCTTCTGAGAGAAAAGCTAGCTCTAAATTAAGATGAAAAAAAAAACCTATTGATTGATATACAGGAATTATAAAGCATTTCTAAGGTTGGACGAATTTTTTACAACGGAATGTCGGTGAGATCAATCCAAATTTGCTTAAACACTTTGACAATGAGATCATGGTACTCGTTAGAATTCAATGAAAGGTAGCAGGCGAGAAGGTCTTCCATGTCCTTTGATGCGCGGATATTGTTCTCCACAATCATCTCCACCATTGAATCCCTGAAGTCCCTTTGCGGGTCGAACGAGGATTTGACGACTGCAAAACTCTCCGAGAGGCCCTTCCTCCGCGGTCTCGAGGTCGAGGTAGAAGACACGGACTTTCGACCATAGGCCTGAATCTTCCTGCTAGCAATTCTGGGAGAATTTGTTCGGAGCTTCAATCCTGGAGAAGCCTGCAAGGATCGTCGGGGAGGGGCGGTCCTCTGTTCTTTGAGAGTCTTCTTGACGCTTTCTCGCTTGGCCACCTTGACGGAGAGAGAACCATGCGCTTTTGTATCACGGAAATCAGTGGAACATCTTCTTAAATTTGCGGGTTCAGTGGTCTCTTTGTTCCTGATGTCCGGGATCATATCGTTAAGTCTGGCAGGTTTTGTCAAAATGGGGCGCAGTTCAAGCTGCTGCGAAAACGAATCAAGGGCGTCAAGCTTGTCGAATTTCCTGGTAAAAGACTTGTCATCCACATCGATGATGATGTCGGTGGCGGAAGAACTGAGTCTACAGCTGCAAGAACTAGAGCATGAGGCCAGCCCGTCGTATGGATCACAAGGAAGGACGTGGTTAGCAGAGACGGCTCCGCAGATTTCATGAGGGAGAGAGTCGCAAAAGTCAGACTCGGGAGAGCTGTCGAGTGGAGAGGAATGCGAGTGGTCTGGGGTGAAATCAGACTTGGTCAATACGGAGTCGAGCGTAGCACGACAACTGCAACCGGTGGAAATGGAGGAAGTGACGAGCTTGGAAGAGGACGTGATGGTTCTTTTATCATTGGCTCTTCTCCTGGATGATTTTCTTGGTGGGTCAGGGAAATGGGTGTCCAAGGTTTCTGTTTTTGGGTTTCTAAGGGAGTTGTAGAGTCTGTCTTCGGTGGTGTAGTAGTAAGAGCGTCTTGCGTGAGAGATGTGAGATGGCTGATGCTGATGCTGATGCTGCTTTGGTTGGCTTGATTGTGGTATTGTTGTCGCTGTAGTTGTATGGTTTTTCTTAACGGGGTAAGAGTTGTTATGGCTCCTGCTTCTGCCCATGTCCTTGAGCTTGTAAAACCAGGCATTTGGTATCATATCTGATAACCTAAACCTGTGATTCCCCATCCAAGATGAAGCCCCCGTTCTCTCTCTCCTTCTCTCTCTCTCTCTCTCTCTCTCTCTCTCACTGGAATGTCTCGTGAGGCCAAGAACAGGGTGTGGGTAGTGAGAACTGGAGATAAATAAAGGAGGGAGTTAAGTGTGAAGTGAGAAGAAGACCCACGACTGTCTGCATCTTGAAGCTATGAGTCTCTGGGGGTCCACAAAAAAAGACAAGAAATTATATTATTTATTACATAAGGGAAAGAAAAGATATAAAATAGAGAAAAAGAAAAAGGTAGTATGAAAGCAAAACGGAACGTAACGGAGTCAAATTAGCTATCCTCGTTATGACGCCTAATCAGCAGGCCCAAACAGGTTACTGCTTTGGAGTTTTATTATCATCTTATGCTAGCGTGGTAATGACGACATTACAGTCGAGAAAGAATAGAGAGAGTGGAGAGAGGGAGAAAAATACATTATACATGTACAAAATATTTTACAGACAGACTGGGTCTGGAGTGTGGAGTGGGGAGTGAAGAAGACAAGAGGCAAAGCATGACCATTTTTATTTATAAAGCTTTTATTTTTAAAGCAAAGAGATACAAAATACTTTCTTTGTTCGGCGAATACAAATATGCCACACTGGTTCAACTGTTCCACTCATTGTTTGTCCACACGAACATCAGACATGGACTCTACTGGACCCTCATAATTCTGTATGTGGCTCCACTTACTGCAATTTCGTTTGAATAGTGCCACAGCCCATTTGTCACGGGGGTACTTCTGCAGCGGAAGAAACCCGTGCGGTGTCCAGGATAATTTTTTTTGTGTGCTTAAGGTTAAGAATTGCTCGATGTGATGGCTCCATCAAGTTCAGTAGCATTGGATCATGACCTCAGTTTGCATGGTCGGAGCACTGTATTGGCTCCTTTCGGTTCATGGGAGGCGCCACTTATGTATTAAATGGGGACGACCATGATGAGAGGCGACTTGGCGCCAAAGAGAGGGACTCTTGTATGCCAATGATGCTAGGCACCTATGTGCCAATGATGATAGGCAACCGCTATGCGCTATGGGCAATGGGATAACTCATTCAGTTTAGGCAAGGGGTTGGCGTGGTGAAGGGTTATGCTTAGGCCAGGCCCACATGCCAAGCCTCCCTTGAGTGTCGGTGGCCTAATGCCGGTCCATGCACTGTCCCCATGAATATGTGTGTGCTCATGAGGAACCTTGGTAACAATGCTAGCTATTAACCAGGGTCGCCCCGCAAGGGATGATGGTCTAAGAGTGCCAAGGTTAGGCACCCAAGGAGATCGACCACCCCTCCTCAAAGAGTACGTTAAGCTTTTGAAGGTCTGCCTAAAGATAACATCACTTTTCCCAATAATCTTACAAGCGAAAATGACGATGATATCCCTTACTGTAAACCCGCCAAACGTAAACAAGACTAAGCTTGTATCAGACCGTAACAGATTAGCAAATATTCGATATCGGAAATCGTATAAATGATCGCAATGTATCTATCTCATTGTGCATGGTTGATAGACATAGACTAGAAGAGTACACCAAAATTCTAACGGTGAGGCCGTAGCTTATATTAGATTGCATTCTAGACATTTTTTCTTTCCTGTGCCTATGTAAATGCCTTCTCATCCCAACTCTATTGGCTTTCTACCCCCCACCCCCCACACACAAAAAAAAAAAGAAACTCTATTGGCTATAAGATGGTGAACCCTCAAAAACTTTCCTATTTTTCTTTTTGAGTTTTCAATACAAAAATTCTCAGGCACTCAATAACATTGGAACCTATGACAAGCCTATATGCATGATATTGATTCCATAGCATAAGCTATTTTATTAGTACATATCCTTTTGAGTATATAGCTCCCCGGGAGTTTTGATGAAAATCAAAATAAACTGATTGATTATTATTAATATTTTAGGCAAATGAAGAAAATCGGATCAGACCCAATAGGCCTAATTCATAATACGGTCGCATTACTTACAAGCTAGCCCAACAGGGTTTTTGGGATGGGGCTCTTAACTAAGTAACGATCAGGGGGACGGAAGAAGAATAAAGTTAAATTTAGCCTCAGAATCTCATTTGGCACCGGGATGCCAAGAATTTTCTTCACCTTGCCCATATGATTCTAAGTATGAAGCTATGTACCAAAATAGAGCACCCTATCATGCTTTTCCTAAGTGGAAATATTTACTATTAGTGTGTAAGCATTCTCCTCTATAACCTAGGGTCTGAAAATATATTTCTTTAATTAACTATGCATTGATATTAAACTCGTGTATTGTAATTCAATGTTCTATCACAAGACATTATATAAATGGACCCATAGGAGCCTTGGGCTACCAATTCAAGAAACTAAATTTTCAGCATCCAGGTTCCTACTAGTCTCTAAGCGGGCCATTACATTATAACAACTCTCAACTAAAAGGAGATAAAATGAAATGCTTGAAGCTTCCCTAGATGTCCTTGATAGGGCTGCAAATGGAATCCTTATTTCCGAATTTGAATTCAATTGAATTTTATCCATTAATAATTGGATCGAATATGGATTAGTAAAGTTAGTTTAGATATCATATTTTTACTAGAAAGTAATAGGTTCAACTGTTCAAGTTCTGAAAATGTAGTTTTACCGAGAAAAAGTTCCAAACATGTTAATTCATTTTATTAAAATATATCATTTTAAGCCTAATATATTGCAATTACCATCTGATTACAATCCGAATTGATTTGAATATGATCTAAACCCTACAGATAAGATTTGATTCGAATCTGAATATAGATCATTCAAATTTGGGAAAATACTTGGGTCTTACCCCCGTTGGAGGACATGCATCCTATCAAAAGCATTTTATACAATAAATTTAAGGTTTAAGGTTAGGGTTTAGGGGTTTTTATGCTTTAAGATTTAAGGGTTTGGAATTTAGATTCTAGGGTTAAAAGGGTTTATAATTTAGATTTTAGGGTTTAGGCTTTACATTTCAAGGTCTAAAACTGAAAATCAAGAGGTGGTTGCTAGGAGGCATATCCTCAAATGGGGTAGAAGCCAAGTATTACCCTCAAATTTGGATCTAGCAGCTAGCTACATCCCATCTAGGGGTGGCTATGAGCCGAGTTCTTCATGAGCTATTCGAGCTCGGCTCGGCTCGGCTTCAACCAAGCTTCAAGCTGAGCTCGAGCCCAATTTACAAGCTCGTTAATTAATCGAGTCGAGCTCGAGCCTAATAAAGCTCGGCTCATGAGGCTCGTGAGCCAAATTCAAATAGTTACATAATAATAATAATAATAATAAATATTTTTATTTTTATATATATAAATAACTAATTATTATAATTCTTAATTTTTTAAATATCAAATAAAAATATTATATATATATATATATATTTACAAAACATTTTTCTCAAGTTAAACTTGAGCTTAGCCAGTCTCGAGTTTACGAGCTTTTGATTCAAACCGAGCTCGAACTCAAGATTCTAGTTCGAACTGAACTTGAGCCTCGTACTACCTTGCTGAGTTGAGCTAGAATAGCTAACTATTCAGCTCGGCTCGGCTCGAATCCATCCTAATCCCCATCCCATCCCATCCAATCCGTTTGCAGCCCTAGTCCTCGATGATCACCTTTGCATTAATTGTTGCTTCAATTTCTCTCCTGTTCTTCTTTTACACGGCACAGTGAAATGCTGGAGCAGAAACAAACAAGGTGAAGATGTAGACGAGCCATTTCGTTTTCTAGTTCAAGTTCAAAGTGTTGGCCTGAAAGAACAAACCTGGCATTTGATATGTTATAAAAAGCATATATCAAGAATCATCGAGACAAAACATAATCTAGTATTCAACGAATGTAGCTATGAAATGAGTTGAAGCTGGTATGTGTGGTGATGTTCTAGAAACATGGGTGAGAGGGTTGAGTGATTTTCAACAGCGATCGATCTAGAGTAGTCCTTGAGGCTTGAGAGTTATGTTTGTGGTTGTGGTAATAAAGCATCTTTAATTTTTTGTTCTCATCGACACCAGTGGAAGAAACACTACCTGGACACCCCAACCCCAAGTACGCAAATTTGGATTGCTATTAGATGACAAATGGAAACGGAATGGCTAGGCATGCCCATGTTGCAATATTACTTTCTTGAATCTAGTATTAGCTAGTATATAATGTATCAACCCATAATCCAACCTCGGGATATATATTGAAGCCAAAAAGAAAACCTCTGGGTCGATCTCTTCTGTAATTAAGGTGATGATCCATCTATATTTATGCCATGATCCCTCGAACATGTATAAAGGGGCCGGGCTTCGATTGTTGAGTGTCAAACTGAACTGATCCTCTGTTGATAATGCAACTTAGCCGAAACTGATCCTGTTGAGTGTCAAATTGAACCGATCAATCCTGAGTACTCCTGAGAAATTGAGAATTATATTTCCAAGTTAATAGTCAACTTATTAGCTAGCTGTGTAGTTACACTGAACAGAGAGGAAGAAAGGAAGCAACACAGGTTCTGTCTACTTCACCCTGGCTAGACTACCTTAAATTGGGCCGGATTATGTGGGATTAAACTTGGATATATAACTCAAACTGTCAGTGGGAACTTAATGAGTCTAGCTAATATCTAGGTCCTATTCCCTACCATTAATTTGTGATTTGTGTCCGCTTGCGGTTTCTGTTTGGATGCGAATTATTCCAGGCCCGACAGACCAATAGAGCAACAAAATCTTGACTTTAACAACTTAAAATGAATTATAAAATTTAGGGTAAAATATAAAAATCTTCCCTCAGGTTTTACCTTAATTTAAAAAAAAATAAACTCCCCTCCCCTGTAGTATTTAAAAACCTGCAGTACCTACCTTTTTTTATTGTCCTGGACGGTAAATTAATACGTTAGCTTTTGTAAAATACCCACAAAAGGATTTTTTTAACTTTGGATTAAAAAAACCCTGAATTAGATTGAAAAGTATAAAGTAATTTCACTCTAAATTATAAGGGTAATTTCTTAAAGTATTCATTGCTACTTGGAACAAAGATGAAAAGGAGGTGACTAACTAACTACAGGTTTTTTGTGAAGTTGAACCCTCAGGGGAGGATTTTATATTTTACCTTTTATATATTTGAGTCCTAC